TGAAATTTCTTTTGGCATTATAATTTATATTTTATTAGAAATTTTCTTGTACCCTTATCTACAAAAGGAAGATTATTGTTTAGGAGTATAATTGATTAAGAATATTTTATAATCTAATTCAGCGTTGAAGGAAGAACTGAATATTTAGTGATGGTAGGTAAGTTTTTATTTTAGTATTGTAGAAATTAGTAATAAGAGAAAGGGAGATAATTTGTCTATATTTATAATAGGAGAGTCAATGCATACTAAACCCACAATCAATGTGGGATTAAAACAATAAGAAATGTATTAAATATTGGCCGATATATCACTAAAGCGGCCGATAGATTGGGTTAAGGACCTTACCACGTCGATAGTTATGGTTTTTATAATGTTCTGCTTTTTGGGATTTTTTTTTCCCGATATATCAGCCGACCCTTTGAAGATATCAACAAAATCGGGTTGTTTTTTATTTGATTGTGGGTTTGGTTTTGGGTCGGGTTTGGGAACCCAAATCCGAAACCACAATCAAATTAGAGCCACAAAACCCAAACCGACAAACGCCACAAAATGCCATAATCCGTCTCCCAAATCTCTCCATTCTAGGTTTTTCAACTCTAAACTTATATCATGACGCAAAATCATTCACTAATATGTTTATGTTACATGTTACAATGCTATGTTATGTATGGACATCATCCGATATGACACCTTGATATTTTTTTTTCATATCACCGATATATCCTCTATTTCCACAATCTGATATGGATTTTGGCCGTCCGATATTTAATACATTGACAATAAGACCAACTAACTCTTTCTCACAACATGTATGAATAAAAATTTTGAATTCATTCTTATTAAAAGGATTTTTTTCTAATGATCAATATATATATATATATATATATATATATATATATATATAATATATAATGAGAAATATGGGTATGCTTGGTAAGCCAAGCTCAAATTTTGGTGCTTGGTAGTGATGTGTCACTCCCATCCACTTCATTATCCATGTGAAATGTGGTCCCATATTTGAATGAGTGGAGGGAGATGTGACACCTGCACTACCAAGCACAACTTTTTATGCTTGGTACCAAATACCCATATTTCTCTCTCTCTCCTATATATAATATATATAGAGACTGTGACAGCCTCCACTACCAAGCACGCACAACCTTTTTAATGGCTTGGTAACCAAGCATACGCATATTCTCATCTCTCTCTCTCTCTCGTCTCTATATATATATATATATATATATATATATATATATATATATATCAACTTGTTTTTCTTGAAGAAAGTCTAACAGATTTTATGAAAAAAATTATAATTTCTATAGGTTGTGTGATTTAGGGTGTGGAACCCTAGTTTTGATGGGGTGAGAACTTCATTTGTGTGAGTCTGTTGATTCAGGTGCTGGACCATTGATCTAGGCATAACTCGTGAGAGCAAAGGCTTAATCTTCTTCTTCTTTCTCTCTCATGGAGACTTGTTGTTATTCCCCCTTACAACGGTTCATGTTCATAGGGCTAACCTTGAAAGACATGCCTCAACTGAATATATTTGTTGGTGAGGATGTCTGTATCTGTTGTGCTACAACTATTGTCTAACTGATGTGAATAATACATGTACCTGATGCTATTAGTTTCCAAATGTAAGGTTCTTTGCTAGGATACTAAAAATTATAAGAATAACATATGCCTCTGCATATCTTCTAAAAATCATGCTTTATCGTACAGTCTCTTTCTTGCCCTGACTTGCTGGATTTAGCTTTTCTTGCCTATCTATTATTCTTTTAATTCTTTGGTACTTGTGCATACAGTTTTTTAACATTAACCAAGATTTTTGTAATAAATTTTTACGCTCTTGTTGACTATCAGAACTCCCATTCTATGGCGTTGTCATATTTTTGATGACAGTTTTTGCAGTACTGCCGACAGTTTGGTCCAAGTAAGTTCAGTGCAGCTGTCTTCATACTTCATACATTTCTGCATGACAGCATGTAAACTAGCTGGTTTCTTTACTTCTCCCACGTTCATTCTTCTATTCATTATTTGATTCTGCATGACAGCATGTAAACTAGCTGGTTTCTTTACTTCTCCCATGTTCATTCTTCTATTCATTATTTGATCTTTATGATTTTTCTCATCCGAACTCATTTTTATGTCAATAATGGTTAACTGTCTTCTCTGATAATATTGCTACCATTTTTTTCTCCATCCACCACTTGAATTTTCTTGCTCTATGTCAATTGATGTCATGCTGTTGCATTTATGTGTTCTTACACTAAACTACCGATTTCCTGGTACTTTCGGTCAGGCTCTTACAATCTATATTTAAAGTTTAACCAAGTTGAGGTTAAGGATTTTATCAGTTGAACTTGCTCTTACTTTGTTATAACATTCTAGCTAGTTTCTGCTAATAGTAGCTAATGATATTGATCAGTTACCTGGAGTTGGTCCCAGACGTTAGGTTTGAGTTTCTATTGATGTAATATAGAAATGAAATCGGGGGCATGCAAGAGACTAAATGTTAAGTCAATGTGTGATCACTGTGACACATTGTACAATATCATCTGTGGCTTATGTTTCTCGACAGTCGATAGGATCTCCATTTCGTCGCTTCATTCCCTCTATTGATGAATTTGCAATACTTCGTATTTCTTAAGTTTTGCTCTTGTAAATATACATGTGAATGTTTTTTTTGCAAGTTGAAGCTGTAATCCTGAATTAAGACATTCAGTAAACACCTAAAAGGTTAACTCAGTATATGCAAAATATGTACTAAAATATTTAACACTCTTTATCTGAAGGTACAGTACTTTCGAAGTCAATGAGTTTAGACCACGGTCATCTTTGGTTGATCTCAGTTATTGATTTGATTTTTTCCTGTGCAGCATTAGCAATGTACATAAGGTTGTTGAGGCTAGCAAAGGAAGCATGTTGATGGCATTAGCCATGGTAATGTTCTGCATAAAAATTTACTTTCTGATTTCTTAAGAGTCTTGATTGAGTTACCTATGCTTTCTGTACCAGCTCTTTCCTTTTGGGGTTCTTTTGGCTGGAGTACTTGTCTGGTATGGATCTAATTATGCTACTACTTGGAAATGTTGGAAATTATTTTATTTATAAAAGCAATTGAAATCTTTCTCTAGGTCTTTTCTATCTCCATCCGACATTATGAGGAATCACCCTCACCTGGTTATTATTGGAACTGGATTTGCATTTGGGTTCCTTGTGGTAAGATTTCTAAACTTTTGCATATGCTTTATCAAATTGTTTTCATTATGTGTACATGAATATTGATACTCAGTAAAAATTTAATGCATTATGAGCCAGACACTGAACTGAGACACTTACATTTTTTCATGCGTGAAGCCGTGAACTATTTTTCCATGCTGGTCTATGCACATTCATGTTTTAAATTTGTTTCCTGCATATTTTACTGCACTTATAGTCTGTTAGCAAGTTTATGCCTTTAATCCTTTGTAGTTAAATTTCTTTCAAGTATGTAGCAGTCATTTTACATTTTTGTCGGTTTCAAAATCCCTTAAAACTCTTTTGGTGCACAATTAGGAGAACCAAGTGACACCTGTTCATTCGTTCTCCCGTCAATCATTTCCATCCCTTTTTGTATTACATCTAGAACATTCATAGCTACAGCTCCAGCTGATTGATTCCTGGCAATTGCTTTATTTTACATCTCACAATTTATTTTAATTTGCTGATGGAAAATTCATCTCTAGCCACATTATCATAGTGTGAGCCTTGTTCCATCAATATATGAAGTCACTGTGCAGTACATCTTTATGGTTGGAAGGTGCTTGAAATGTAGTGCCTAAAATTTTGGAGCTAACTTTTAATAACAAAGAGCGGAAAAGTCCTTGCTTTGAAACCTGAGAGAACCAATTAGAAAACATTGTTGGCTGATGTAATTCAAGATTGTGCTACAAGAGGTGCACAGTTTTATGATTCTTTGTGGCTGTTTGGGTTCAGCACTGCTTTCTCTGCCCTATCTGAATTTCATATATGTTTCCCTCCTGTTCATAAGCGTTCTTGGAACTAGCTTGCCTTTTGTATTCTCCATGGTCTAAAAACGTGATTCTTGTTTTCCAGGGTAGGATGATTCTTGCTCACTTATGTGATGAACCCAAGGGTTTGAAAACTGGGATGTGTATGGTATGTCTATCTACTTTTCTAGTTCAAGTTGTTCATTGTTATAGGTGTACACTCCAAATAATGGTTTCTTTGCTTGCATAGAGTGATAAGCTGATATTTAAATAATGTGCCTGTGATTGCTCATATAGTACAGGACATTTCATATTTTTACTATTTATGTCCTGTTTGAACAAGGGTTTGCATCTAAGACTGACATTTTTACCCTATAACAGTCCCTGTTGTATCTTCCTCTTGCCATTGCAAATGCCCTCACTGCTCGCCTCATGGATGGGTATGCTTCTTATTATTTACATATCATTTAGAAACTTTACTGTTTAACCCCAAGTACTTATTATTTCTAATCCTGGACAATTTCTTATTATGTTGGTTTGCAGAGTTCCTCTTGTTGATGAATATTTTGTTCTTCTCCTGTACTGCATTTTCACAGGTAGGAAAGATTCTACTTTTCATGGTTTTAGTTTTGATATTTGCCTGATTTTTCTGCTGTTGGACTTGGTTGTCTGTAAAACTACTGGTCATTTTTTTTCACATCATACCCCTGTGATATTAATATTCTAGCAAATGGTTCTGAGGCTCTGATGAGTCTTCTTCGTGATTGTCCCTATGTTGACCAAATTCAGTTATTATTGAATGGCATTGAAATGCAGCAACATGCATGCAAAAATGTCTGGATTAAATTACTTCCAAACTTATTGATATAGTCAAGTTTGCATTGGTACAATGTTAAGTCTGACTTCATAAGCGAATCTTTTGGTTTCATTGTTGTCTGGGCATAGAAAATATGCTTGATTCATACCAAACTACATAGTAAGGGCTAATTGGTGGTTCAGAATTGTTCATCTTGATCCACAACCGTAAACTACTAATGGAAGTAGAATTATGTCTTCCTCTTTCTCTTCACTGAAAAAGAATTCGATATTGCTAGTGTTTGATGAATGACTTGGAAATTACAGTTTTTTTCTAGCACATGCATTTTGTAGTTGATCAAGGATAAACGAATAAATTAAAGTTTTCTACTTGATCATGATATTGCCAGATGTTGATTTTGCAGTGGAAAATGATCTCATATCATCTCATTTGCTTTTTTTTTTCTGTAACAGTTGGACTCTACCTGCACTTTGCCACATCAGTCATTCAAGAAATTACTCATGCATTGGGCATCTGCTGCTTCAGGTAGAAACAAATTGATTTGTGAAATATTTAATTTTTACACCGAATCAAGGGGCATTCTTTGACATTGTTCTTCTTGAACAACAGGATAACCAGAAAAGAAGCTTAAACATTTTACATTGGTGCACTTATTTTGTACGCTCACAAATTTGATATATTCATTAGTGGCCTTGACGCAAGGAAAATGCCTGCCTCTTACCTTTCTTTTTTTCAAAATTTCCCCTAATATATTTCAAGGGTTTGTTGGGGATTTTGTGTAAAATTAGAATAATATATAATTTTATTGATGTGAGAAATATGATTGTATTATGTATCAGAGGTGGCTCCTTGTATCCTACTTATTTGCAAATAACATTTGTGCTTATTGTACAAATCATATTTTGTTCTCATTGCTATTCTGGGGATATACGGGGAAATTATGTAATAAAGCTAATGTATCCATACATAGGTGACGTACTATAATTATTCAGTTATGTATTTTACCTCAACCCTTTGATTTTAAATGCCATATATAAACATCAGTTTGTGTAAATTACTTGTCACTTGGCCTTTAGCATGTAAAATGTTTATTGAACTTCGATTGTGATTGATGACGGGGAATTTACGTTATTATTTATATGCCTTTTTTCTTACATCGTTTGGACGTAATGTATTATTCTTTAATTACCCTGGTAATACGATAATGTGGACTTCCGTTATCAGTGTCAGATAGATAGTATTTCAGTACGGAACCAATATTGATAGGCAAAATGATCAGATTGGTATATTTTTTAGAGGCTTGATGACATGTTGGTATATTTTTTTTAGTTTTGTCAGATTGGTATAAATTTTAACTCCGGCGTCACAAAGGTCTTAAATTTGGTCGGAGTAACTGTTCCGACCAAGGTTGACGTGATTTTTTGTAAAAAACCCCCTCATCAAATATAATTTTCTGCTCCTAACCTCTCTCTCTCCCTCCTCATCCTCTGCAACCTCCCTCTCTCCCTCCTCCTCCTCATCGTCTTCCTCCTCATCCTCTTCAACCTCTCTCTCTCTCTCTCTCTCTCTCTCTCTCTCCACCTATGGTCTCCGTTCTCTGCAACTACACTTCATTGGCCTCTCGCCTCCCCAAACTCCCTCTCCTCCCCAATCCCAACAACAAACCCAAAGGGGACATAGCTTGTGTTCTCAAAGGTGATGATGAGAGTGGTGGTCTCCTCTACGAGGCTACTTGTGTTCTCAAAGGTGTTGATGACTAAACATCTCCGGTTATTATGTATCAGTTATCTTGGTTCAACCTACCCCTCATCCTCTTTCTCCCTCCTCCTCCATTCGCAACAAACCACCACCAAGCCAATGATCTACGGCCAACCCCTACGACCGACCCAATCACACCCACCTGCACGCCAACTGCTCGATGATATGTTGTGTTGCATTGCCCACTACTAGCATCATCAACAACGCCCATGCCCTTGCACTTCAACGGCCATCTTCCCTTGCCCACCTTCCGGGGGCAGCCATCTGCTCCCTCGCCACAACAACAACATTGACCATCCTTCCTCATCTTCGATGGTCGTTTGATGCTCGTGGGTGAACCGCACACAAGGCGGCCGAAGAGATGAGGGAGAGACGAAGAGATGGGGGTCGAGGGCCTGCCATTGGAAGCGGTGGGTCAAGGGGTCGAAGGCGAGGACGAAGAGATGAGGGAGGGACAACAAAATGCTGGATTTCGATCGGAGGAAGCTAGGGTTTGTGAGGATCTGGTTCCACGTTGAGGAGATGGAGGGGGCGACGGAGGTGAGGGGGAAGGGGAGGAGGATGAGGTAGAGTTCCGCTACTTCGTTGGGGAGGCCGGTTATTAGGTCGTCAGAGATCCGTGCGCCGCCGGTCGACATCGGAGGGAGGAAGAGGAGGAGGGGGAGGTTGAAGAGGATGAGGAGGATGAGGAAGATGATGAGGAGGAGGGAGAGGGGGAGGTTGAAGAGGATGAGAAGGAGGGAAGGGAGGGTTAGGAGCAGGAAATTATATTTGATGAGGGTTTTTTACAAAAAAATCTCATCAGTCATGGTAGCAACAGTAACTCCGACCAAATTTAAGGCCTATATGGCGTCAGAGTCAAAAATTTATACTAATCTGACAAAACTAAATGAAAATATATCAACATGTTACCAAGCCTTTAAAAAATATACCAATCTGGCCATTTTGCCAATATTGATAGATTTAAACTAGGCTAAATAGTACTTAAATATCTTATTGTTTCACCATCTTTATACTTGAATATCTTAAGTCGTAAAAAATAATACTTCAATACCTTAAATTGTGAAAAAATAGCACTTTAATACTCTTTAAGTTATAAAAAAGCTAACACTCAAGTATCTTATTATTTCACCGCGTTTACACTAAAATATTTTAAGTTGTAAAAAAATAGCACTTTAATACCCTAAGTTGTAAAAAGCTAACATTTAAATACACTATTATTTCATCATATTTATACGAAAAGATTTTAAGTTGTAAAAAGTAACATCTTTATATATATACATTCTTATATGTATTAAGTTGTATTCCCATGACAAGTAACACAACGTACGAACGTGGTAATTTTTTACAACTTATGATATTAAAATATTACCTGCTTCGACTGATACCTAAGAAATAATAGAAAAATGATAAATAAATTGAAAGAGATACAAACTGGTGCTTCAACTGATAACTCAGAAATAATAGAAGAATGATAAATAAATGGAAAGAGATGCAAAACTGGTGCTTCAACAAGTTACACAATAGACATCTTACCCACACAGCATTTTCGCCTGAAAAATAGTAAAAAATAAGGCTTTAATCAAGAACACAATACAATCACTTGATGTTCAGTAAAGAACAAGAACAACTCAAAAAAATGCAAAACCCCTTCGAAGAGAGGGAGAGAGATCACGACCTCTCCTAGCAAATTAATTCAAAACCACTCGCTTGCGGAAATGGTTACGATGAAATTTGCGTTCTCTAAAAATAGAATAACAGCGCAACTAAACACTTTGGAGTAAAAATTCCATCCGTGTTTCTTTCAAAAAAAAATCGATCACCACGGACGCAGCAATTTTCTGGCATTTTCCAATAGATCAAAACAACTTCAAAATGCAAAACCCCTTCGAAGAGAGGGAGAGAGATCACGACCTCTCCTAGCAAATTAATTCAAAACCACTCGCTTGCGGAAATGGTTACGATGAAATTTGCGTTCTCTAAAAATAGAATAACAGCGCAACTAAACACTTTGGAGTAAAAATTCCATCCGTGTTTCTTTCAAAAAAAAATCGATCACCACGGACGCAGCAATTTTCTGGCATTTTCCAATAGATCAAAACAACTTC